ATCATCACACTGACGACTTGCATGTTGAAATTTGGCATGTGTTTTACACTGGATGCCCTTCCTGATGCAACCCTGAATCGAACCCGGGCTGCAGCGGCGAGAGTGCTGAATCCTATCCACTAGTCCATCAGGGACCCCCTGGCCATTTATAGAGTAAGATTAAAAACAAATTAAGATGGAACCCCAGGTTGCTTGGAAATAGCAGTATGTACTATATGTTGGAAGGTGAAGTTATAGCCTCTGTTTCCTTAAGTGAAAGGTTTTCAGTTTTATCTTTATCTGCAGTGGTTAATTATCAGTTCCATACAAGTTATTAACTGGCTCCAGATGTTCCAAATCTCATCACTAAAGGCTTTGATGCAAAGATGGAGGTAGTGTTGCATGTTGTTGGAATATTTATCCCTGTTGGTACCATTTCACATGGTTCCTTGTGGCCTATTATGTTTTAAGATTTTCTTTTTTGTCAGGATAGACAAAACACACATTTCTTTCTGCAGTGCCTTCCCCTCAAGCACACACTGTTGCACATCACAGGAAGCTGCCAGCAACCACAAACGGAGAGAGTTACAACCTTAGTTTCCTATGGTCAGTGATTGAACTGCTGCAGTGGAGCAGCTGGACACCTTGATGGCTAATGATGAGTGCTTTCCATTCAATTACCCCGCCCATATTTTCCCAGGCAGTTAGCTCACCCCAGTGGTTTTCCAGTCAGAGGTCTGCTTTCCCGGCTACTGCTTTCATTTTATTTCAGTTATCAACTGCCACATATTCAATATTTATCATCTGTGCTGATGCAAAAGCTTATTTAGCTAAACATCCTTTTAAAAGCTGCTGTAATCGATATTTCATATTTACAGTGGATCTGATTACTATGTATATTGTAGAAGGAGTTACTTGTAACGATGATTCAACAGCGAGTTATCGACCAACTCTGATGTTCCTCTCAGTTTTGTGGAGTTTTTGCTTTTACAGCCTGCAACGTTACAATTTTCTTTCACTTTCATTGCTGTCATAGCATTACTTTTGGCTGCAGTGCACCACACACCACACATTATTTGTAAATACCAGTTCCTGCACAATGAAGCCTGTAGTTTGTAGGCTATTTCCTGGATTGAGACAGTCCAAGCCTATAGTACACTTAATTAAAATTTTATCTCTTGAGAGCAAGGAATGGGCAGAGCCAGGGGTGACACTGCTCCCCCTCAGAGTCGAAATGTGATGCCTGTTAGTATTAATGATGAAAATGAAAAACAATTGCAAATTGTTGCCTTAAGTATGACAACATTTTTGGTGCTTTATAATTGATAGTGGTCAAATTTGTTTTATTTTATATCATGCATGCAGTATGATATTTGCAGATATCAGTACTTGGCATGATTCTCCTCGCGGGGGGGGCGGAATGAAGTGAAGAAAGCCATATTTGTGACACACACATACTTGTCACACTTGTCAGTAAACTCATTTACACAAAGTTGAGACAGCACGCTCTCACATTCTTATGCATGCTGCATTACATGCAGCCAGACCAACAATTAATGGAGCGGAAATGTCCTTCAGAGTCAAAAGATGCCTTTAAATTTACAAATAAGGATTCAAAAATGGCCCTCTGCTATGCTGGAATACATTTTTTGCATTTCACCCTGCCAAGATGTAATTTGTTGATTTGTCAAATTTTCACACATGGACGGTTTTACTGTCCCCTGTGGGCCACTGTTGGCAAATTGTGTCTGAGCAATGTGCTCCAGTGCATTCTGGGTGAGAAAAAATGGAGATGGGGTTTAGTTAGAAAACAACAGCCTGAAGTAGTAGGGAATAAAACTGCAAAATGCAGCTGGCAGCAGGCGAAACTATTCATAGAAAACACTTTGTCAACAAAATAACTAATACTGAGGGGAAAAAATACTCAACTCTGCAGTGGTGGGCGATGGACTGGCTACATCTCCTTTTATATAAAAGGCCAGTTTATGTTGAGAAATAAAAAGTGTTTTACATTTTGTATTTTTAAATTTGGAAGACAACAATGTAAAGTAAAACACATGTATCAGTATGATTCTCATTCTGATTCTGATTAGGTAAAATATTTCAGGAAATAACTTCTTAAAAGGATATTTATACTAATGAAAAAGGCATTAAAATAAGAAGCATACCCTGCTACCCATGCATGAAAGCTTGCAAAGCACTTTATCTGTCAATCTCATTGCATCTGTATATCCACATTACTTAAATGGCCTGTCCAGGATAATGGATGAGAGTTGACCACACATCCTGCAAGTGATGTGAATTCGCTTATGGCAGGAAGTGATAAGGAAAGATGTAGAGCACCATAAAGCCACGATGCTGGGATGTTCACACACAGATGTCTTATTAACATAATAAACAAAGGCCACAATGATGCTTAATGAGCTTACAAGCACAAAATGAGGGTTTGGTTTTTGCAAAATTATACAGGTTGTTGGTGTAGTGATGGTGTTGTACTGGATTATATTGAACACGTTTCTAATATGCTTTCCCCCTCGTGTTTTTGAAGTGTTTGAAAAACATTAGAAACACCCAAATATAATGCAGTTCATCCAATACATGGCAGATTCTTTGACAAAAGTGTGTCCGACAGAACTGTTGTATTGAATTGCATTACATTTTACAGGTGTATCTAATAAAGTGACCCATAAATGCATATCGCTGGTACAGGTGGACATGTGGTCAATAAGAAGGGTGCTGCTACAGATCATACAAACCAATTTAGTGCATAGTATCATAGTATTTGTTGTAACAGTTTTTGTTCTGAAATAACAGCTGCTGGTCTTGCTGCTCTAGTTTCTGGCCTGACATCAGTCATGTTCTGATCGCCTATGATTTTGTTCCAACCTACTGAACCAACCGTTGTTCAGAAACAGACAGAAGACCACTTCATCTGATACTCAGCAGCCCAGTGGATTTGTGACAATGGATTTTTTGTTACCTGCACAAGGGATTATGCTCTGAAATCTCAGGCATTAGTGGGTTTACGAGGGGGATTACACAGTGTACTTGATTCATGGTCAGTCTGAACAGATAATGCACCACTAGTGTACTTCCAAAAAAAAGAAAAACGACAAAATTATTCTGAAGTAAGGATAGGCAGCAGATGCATTAATCATCTTGGAGATTCTCTGTGCTGTCAAAAGTGGGTGGTTTTCCCTGATGGCCAACGAATATGTGACTGTGGCAAATTTGCTTCATTAGTTCTCTGTTCAGCATCAACTGGGAAGTTTTTATAATATGAAAAATGCAGCATAACACTGGAACTCTGACATAAACATGTAATCCTGTCATGTAAGGACTTCATGTTGCTTAAAACCCCTGATAACGCTGAGCCAGAGGTAATAGAATTAAAACACAGTAATCGTCAGATGAAGGCATTAATTTACTGTGTTTTTGTTTCTTCTAAATGGAACAGTTCTGTTATTTACATGTGACAAAGGGTGCAAGTAACCAAATACTTTCATTATTAATTCATCTACCACTGAAGTAATCAATTGTTTTCTCTATAAAAATGTTGATTACAGTTCCCTGAGCCAAAGCTAACCTGATGAAAAATGAAGCAAATCCTGACATTTTAGAGACTAGAACAAGGTCATGTTTGCATTTTTCTTCACAAGTGACTTAAATGATTAATTCATTAATAATACATTTTCTGCCAATCAGGTAATTGGCTCTCGTATCTAAATTCAGTTTTTAATTGTTTCTCGTCCTTTGCAGCTTTTTCACACTATATACAGAGGAATCAGTGGATCATAGGGCTGCCGTTGTTTGAGTAGCTCATTGTGCAATGCACATACACTAAAGATTGTACTTGCACTTGCTTGGGGACCAAGGACTAGTTGTACTATAAGCATTTCTTGAGGGGAACTCATCTTGATGACTCAGTCATACATGGACCATGTACTGTGAGTACAAAGGGTCTGAATGTTTATCTAACTTCTGCACACACTGTCTTTTTATCTACTTCCTGGGCTTCTTCATTGTACTTGTCATAAAAAGTGAACTAAATTCAAAGGGTGTTTGAGGAGGATGGACTGTCAGCGTGCTTCTGCCAGAGTGTTTATTTCTTCACCCTCAAGGACTTTGATTTTACTAAGCCAAGCTGTTGCACAAGGGCTCCACAGAAAGAGATATGCAGTGCCTTGTACATAATTGAATTTATAACTGTCATATATATTAACCTCTACTATCTTGCGCTGCTGTATTGCTTGGCAAGAATGCATTTATCATAGCCAAAGTGTTGAACGTGGGCCATGCGGAGACTGAGAAACAGATGCATTTCACTGCAGCAGCCGGATCCTCTGGGGTCAATACGCACATCAGTTCTCACTGCCTGTAGAGATAAATACAGACCAGCACTGCAGGCACTAAATACTGAAGTTCAGTGATGCTATAAACAGTGTTACCTGAGTTTATGACAACATGTTTGGCTGAAAGGAAAATTCCAGTATTTTTTCAGTCTGGAGCCAGTTGCACCAGATGTTTGTGAAAGAACATGTGACCTAGTTAGAACTCAAGTGTTTACCAAGTGGAAATTTACACATTCCTGAATTAAAACAAGTTGTTCCACACAAACTACTTCTTACTCATTTTCTCTTTGCTTATGGTAACAGTGCCAGTAGCAGTTAACATCCAGCTGTTATCTCAATTCATAAACATGTGAAAGGCCTGATTCATAAGTGCATTTGGCTTCTACAACACTCTAAACTACTATGATTACTTTTTACAGCTCTAAAGTATAATACAAATATCATTTTTATATACTTTTGACACAATGCCCACTGTCAAAGTAGCTGGCTGTTAACGTTCAAAGGCAAATGTTGTACATTAAAGAAGGTGTTTGTTATCAAGGAAATCGAACATGCTACTAATGTTGTACATCCTGATCTGGGCTTCAGCTAGGGCACACTCCAAACTATTAAATATTTTTCACACAAAACCTAACAATGAAATGTTTTTGTGGGTGTCTTTTCTTGCAGCTGGGCGAAGACACTTTCAACCGTGCCAAGCTGTTGAATGTTGGCTACAGGGAGGCTCTGAAGGATGCAGAGTACAACTGCTTCATCTTTAGCGATGTAGACCTGATCCCAATGGATGACCGCAACCTCTACCACTGCTATGACCAACCAAGACACTTTGCCATTGCGATGGACAAGTTTGGTTTCAGGTGAGGTGATGATACAAGCAAAGAAGCATAGTACATACAGTACATTCTTAGTGCAGATTATTATTATTAGAGACACTTCAGTTAAGCCTACTGTAATACCACATAGGTCATAATATTTGCCAAAGTCTACTTTTAGCACTGGTTCGTTTGAGCTAATTTTGATGCAGTCGCGTCCCCACTTGACCAAGCTACATATGCACACATGTGCTGGTGACATCTTGAGTGATAATTACTCCTTGAAAGATATAAGAATATTATTGCAGGCTTTGTCTATGCCTGCCTGTAATGACTGTACATCACTGTCACTGTTACATTTATTTTGTGAAATGTAAACATGTTAAATATGCCGTTGGCTGCCTAACAAAGAATTGTAGAGATGGTTTCCGGTCTTTGTTGTGACAGACTGTTGACAGAGCAGTATTTAATTTAACTAAATATCATTATACTTTGAAATTCTGATATGTAGCTTAAATTACCATTTTTTGCTCATTGAAAATGAAAAAAGAGGGATAAAAGTAAAAGCTTGAAGGTCATAGTGTGTTGAAGGTCACATAAAAAAAATGAGTGTAAAAATCAGATTACTGTAGAGAATTGGTTCCCAAGGTCAAACTGGTCTGAGCAGCCTGTGAACTTTTCTATTTAAACTTTTTACTTTTATAAAGGAAAAAATTCAGGAGGCTCTCAGAGTCAACACAGGCAATAAAAAAAATAACCAAAGAGCGACTGAAATATTTTTAGTTTGAGGCACCATGCAGCTGTTTCAGTTGAGTACAATTTTTATTGTGTGTTAGTCAGAGACCTTAGATGCTTCCAAATGTAAAAGCGCCAGACGTTGGCAGGGAAGTCAGGTCACATTAAGTGCTACTCCATTACCTTAGCACCTTCTCACCTAAATGCTCTCTGAGCAGAAATGGTTATTCTTACTTCCATTTCACAACGCTGTCAAACATTTCCACAAACTAGTCTCTCAAAGGTCCTTGAGCAATGTATTAAACCATATTGCCATTATATTATACATACTTTTGTGGATGTTGAAGTACTTGTTACCCATGTAGGCATGGTACAAGTTTGCTGTAGCTCACTTCGATGTTATGCCCATTCTTACATGGGTCTCCAGGACTGTACATGGGTCAGCATGTGCTGCTTTAAGGTACCAAATGGGCAAGGCAATATGTAAAAGAATTAAACTGGTAAAAATTAACAAGGCATTTTTTTAAAGAAGAGAGAAAGACCACACGCTGATGCAGAAAATGCATTCAGCCCATTTGATGGAGTTTAAGGATAGATTTTAATTTTAAAAATAAGTGTTTCTTCATAATGAAAACTGCTTTGCAAAACAAGTGCTGCCAGAGATACTGTGGATTTTTTTTACTTGACGAATGAAATGGCTTTAAAATAATGTAACAGGCAGAAAAAGCAAACACATTCACCCGCTCCTGTTGCCCCTACAAAATGATATCATCACATAACTGCCGAATTTCTGTCATACCTATACACATATTTTCTATTACATAATCAGATATGAATATGAAGCCACATCTGTTTAAGATTATATGGAAGTTTTGTTTATCCTCTTCATAGTGAGATAAAAAATGTAAACCTAGTTCTCAAAGTTCTCAAGAACAACTTGAAACATTATGTCAAACTTTCTCTCTTTCTTTCTGCTTCTCCTCCTCCTCATCCTCCTTCTTCTTTTTTTCCTCAAGTATGTGTCGTTTTTAGGCACAAACAATACGCACACACCCACCCCTACATACACATACACACACACACACAAACACAGACTCCTAACCATATGGTTGTTGGGAGAACTTGTGCAGAAACATTCGGTCTCATTAATTTCTGCTTGTCATCTCTCAGCAGGGAGCTGTCATGTGTTTGACAACATGTACAGCAGAGAATATGCGCACATGTACGCACACATGCACATACATGCATTGCCCTCCGGTTAGACTCCAGGCGACTGTCATGCCATTCCTAGCTGGTGTGTGTCCCACTCCACTAGTCTCACAACTTTTGAGGAAAAGAGGAAATAAAAAAGGTCCTGTGTCCACACACACACACACACACACACACACAGTTTATATGGCAGGTATTTTAAGGAACAGGACACAAACCCTCCATTAATTTATTGTCTGGTTCTTTTTGATATTTTTCTATTTCTCTTGTTGTATTCTTCCTTTCTCTTTTATTCATTCTCCTTTATTTTCTCCTTGTTGCATGTTTGTTTTTATGGTTATACAGTAGGAATTATGTTGGGACAATTATACAATACAATTTAGTGTTGTCAGACATTTCTAAGACCTTCTATCATCCAAACTAACATAGTGAGAAGACCAGGTGCAGAGAACATTTCTTTATTGTCAGGGTGTGTATATACACAAGAGACCTATGCAGAAATACTATGGACTTCCTTTAGACCCAGTCATTTCATGTGTCTTGAGTGGATTGTGTATGGATATAGGATTATCCACTTGCTGTGAAAAGGCACCCATAAATTATCCACTTAAAGACGCATCAAAGAAAAGACACAGCAGGAAAAGCTCTGATTGCCTTAAACACATCAAGACGTTATTCAAATGTAAATTATGATCGATCTATTCAAGTTGTATTTGAAGCCAAAAGCGCTCTTAATGCATCACATCATGTGATATCGTTGCTCTGAATTTCTGAATGACCTCAGATGAACAAGCAGTGCTGGGAACACACACAGGACAATAATAGCCTTAACAAGGCATGAGTTTAACTATTTCCTGTGTGGATAGACATGTCTATTTGTTGTCATAACGTGCACTGGGGTTTGAGATATTGTGCCTGTCCACATGTATGAACACAGACAGAATACAAAAGGGAGTTTGTTTTCTGAAAATTCAAGCACACAACAATACATCAGTAAAAACCACGTGAGAATGTTCCTCTCTCATTGAATAGGTGTTAGAGTATGAATAATGTCCTGCCTGCCCACACATCAAGAAGGCAATTCTCTTTGTTGCTAGTGCAAGTCAGACCCCAGTCCATTCTCCATCCAGTTGCTAGCATCTGTTGATTTTGCTCGTCAGCATCCCAGCATGCAAAGCACATCCGGCAGAGTCGCCATGTGGTTTGGTGAGATCAAGGTCAGATCACATTCCATCACAAAGGAACTGCTGCAGAAATAGTTAGTGACCTTTCCTCTGAAGGGTCTCAGCGCCATTGTTCCTGGCACACGCATCCGACTACGACTGCTGTGCTCAGATCTGCCTGAGAGAATTGTACCGAGGGGGAAAGCAAACTAGAGTCCGATTTGGTCTAGCATTTTAGAAAGCTGTTTACTGTGTCACTGGCAATTAATTCATGATAATACTTTCCTATAAATGCTGTACATAAATAAGGCTGTGGTTAGAAGATGTTCCTCTGATTAGGCTAAACGTGTTTACCCACTGAAAGCCTTATCTCTGTTTGTGTATAATGAACTCTGGACTTCATTGTTTTTACCCAACAAACTAAAGCCATAAAGCAATACAGCACATTTTTAAAAAGCTTGTTTATGCAACTATAATTTATTTTTGAATAATATGTATATTCCAGTAAAATCCTACACATAGATCCTTTGACAGGTTATTTCTTCTCCCTTACCTTTTCTCCTTCCTTGACCTGTCCCATTTCTTCTTTTCTCCTCTTCTGCAGGCTGCCATATGCAGGCTACTTTGGAGGAGTTTCAGGTCTCAGTAAAAAACAGTTCCTGAAGATCAACGGCTTTCCGAATGAGTACTGGGGTTGGGGAGGGGAGGACGACGACATCTACAACAGGTAGAGATATAGCATTAGTTTTTTATAAAGACATACTGAAGAACCAAAGCTAAGCTACTTGTCAACACTAGCATTTTGTAATGACAGAAAATACCATCTGTCAGGGTTATGTTAAGCACTCTGGAATACATTTCTTGTAAGAAAACCAAATGCAACCCATGCACACATACACACAGCCCTGCTCATTAATCTGCATGTAAATATGCACATTATTTCAGCTTCTACTGGAGCAGTAAAATGTGGTGAGATCAAGTCCCTGAACTGAAAGTGGCACTGAAGTTCTTTGTGGAGTGGATGATTTATTAAAATTGTTCAGAGAGGGAGAATGACTAGCAAATAAATTAACCTTTTTGAAGCACTTCAGTCAGTTTTTAATGACTTGTTCAAGTTCACTAATGCTAATACCACAGAAGTTTGCTGAAATCAAATCTGGGAGAAAAGTATCTGACACGAATACAGAAAGATGACTTAAGATGCTTAAATGTACTGAACCACTTACAAGGGCATTAGTTTAATTCATCATCCTCTCAGATGGTTGTTTGGACTGTTGAACTGATAATTTGACTAGTAATGACTGATGATGATAATGATGACGGGCGGCTGTGGCTTAGGAGGTAAAGCAAAGTTGCAAAAGATTTAGCATAGAAATAATGAAACGGATTTTACATAGTACCTTAATCACAGATGACGTTGTTCCATATATTTTGATCTCAGCTCTGTTTCACATATTAGCTCCATCGGTATCAGAAATGTCAGCTTCACATTTCTGTACAACTGAAATATTTAAAGTGATGTAAAGATTTTCACAGTCGAAGAAATTGTCAGTTGCCATGTCAAGTTAGCTTCAAAGAAATGTTATTTCAGTTATATAAACGTACATTTGTATTCAGAGATTAAGGCTCGAGTATACTAATTACAAACACACACATGGCAGGACGCTTCTCCACAGACAAAGTACGACCTCCATCTTTATAGTATTTCTCTTCCTCTGTATCTTTCTTCTGTGTCTGTCTGTGTGTTGCTGTCACTCTCACACTATGAAGCCAGTTTTTCTCCTCTCAGTGTAATAGCATTATAAGAAAACTGAAACTAGAACATCTGAAAATTAGTGTTTATGAGAATGGACTGTGTCAGTCAACACAGTATTCAGGAGATTACAGTTGTTTGTCAGCGTCTGGTCATTTTGTGTGTGTGTGTGTGTGTGTGTTTACGGTTGTGTGCCTAAGGATGGAAGATAAAGTTAAACTTCTAACTTTTTACTGGATGATAGCTGCACTAGGCCATTAGATGCTGTAGATTTCCCTGGAGATATTTTCTGCACTCAAACTAAACTATTTCAGCTGCTATGAGAAGTGACATGACGTGGGTATTTCATTAAGATCCCAGTTAAAAAATAATAATCAAATCATTCAGACATTGACTTCTGCAATTCAGATTCACCTTCAGTGTCAGATAAAACGTATAAGTCTCAGAGGAGAAATTTTCACGGAGTTTGTAAACACTGCTAAAATAAAATGAAATGATTTGGATTTTATGTATTTCTTTGGATAAGATGCATATTGTAAACAAAATTATATCCTTTTGAGACATTCCCAGCACAGCTACAAAGTTTGGATTTTTTTTTTAAAGACTTCTTTTTGTAGCTTTCCTTTCCTTTGTAGACTTTGGAATTAAAGTGAGACTATGTAATGTCTTTGCTGAGCAGTAGACTCCGTGGCCACAAGTGGCAGTTACACGATAACTGCTGGTTGATTTCTCCTTCGTTTCTCAAGATTGTTTGGGATCCGTTTCTTTAGTGAAATCAGTGGAACATCATGAGTAAGTTCCTACCTCCTCCTTGGACTGAATCCATCCGGGGACCTTTGTCACATAACATAAACATCTGTAGTTCTGCTCAGAAATTATAGAAAAAAGATATTCCGCATAACTAGCAAACTTGCCTGAGAATCATCACATTTTAACGTTTTGTTAGGTCCCAAAGTAATCCAGTGACAGATGTCTGTACATTCATGGGTGCATTGCAAACAGGAGTTGACAGTGGCTAATTTGGCTAAAAAGAAACGGCTCAAGTCTGAATGCAAGATCTCACCTCTTCTGTTGTATCACGATGGGACAGGCAGGAAATCATGAACCAGGGTAGAAATATGATAGGGTCTGTACTTATTACTGAAATTCCAAAAATCCATCCATCAATTATCTGTAATGCTTATCCTGAAGAAGGTCATGGGGGGCTGGAGTTAATCCCAGCTGACATTGGGAGAGAGGTGGGGTCCACCCTAGACAGGTCAACAGTCTATCATAGGGCTGAAACTTACAGACAACTACACACACCCACACTCACAGGCAATTTAGAGTCACAATCCGCCTAAACTTCATGTCTTTGGACTGTGGGAGGAAGCCAGAGTACCCAGAGAGAACCCACTCAGACACAGAGAGAATGTGCAAACTCCACACAGAAAGGCATGGGGCAGCTGGGGCTGCAAGGTGACAGCACTAACCACTACACCACCATGCTGCATGAAATTCCAAAAATCTGTTCCATAATTCTAATGAACCCTTAATCTTAGCAGGCCATACAGGAGGGACTGTAAAACAGGCCTGGTCCTGCAGTAGAAGACAAGCATTTACAGATTTTCCCTTCAGGAATCAGTAGAGAAAAGGCTTTTCATTTGTTTAGTTTGAAATTCAGCCAACATTGTTGTGAAAGCTGGAGCTGAAGGGGCTCTAACAATACGAGAGGTGAGCACGGAGTCTTCAACTGACAGAACTAACAGGTGAGCTGGCTCAGAGGAGAGGGGTACAGGGACAGAGGGATAGAAGAGCACTGGTATAAAACAGTGTGTGGCATCCATGAAGTCTGCTCCTTGTTTTTCCTCTATTGTTAAAAGGTAGCAGGGTTTACATGCTTGAATCCTGCAGGCATCTGATGTGTCTATCAGCCTGGTCTCCAGTCAGTGTTTTGAACCCGAATGAACCTCCATCTGCTTGTTTTCTGAAAGCTGCTCTGGAAAAAAGAGCATCAGCTAAATGACTAAAATGCTCTTCTACACTATACTGCAGCACTTCTCCCCCATTCTAGTTTTCCTCCTCTCTGACAATCCAACTCTCCTTGCCACTTTGCCCATCTCCCTCTCTTGCTGCCCTCCAGCAATTTCCTTTTTTAAGCTGGTTTTGATGCCACAGACCAAGACACAGCCTCTGCCTGAAATGGGCCCTGCCAGTTTAATATCAGCCCAGGGGAATTGACTGTTTGTGCTCAGTGCAGCCTAGGCCAGTGACTGAGAGGACACATGCCATTACACAACTGCTAGTGCCACTTGCCTACCCTCCATCCCCTGCCTAAACAGTTGGTGGATATTAACAAAGAGAGGAAAGAGAGCAAGAGTCTTTTTTCTCACCTCTCACCCTTTCTGAGGAGCAGTAGCCTTGGGCAAGGACTGTACCGCTCCCCAGGGCTTCAATTCTTAACCAGTCATACATTCTTCTTTTACTGTGCCATTTCCCCTCCCTCTCCTCAACGCCTTTCAACAAAGCCTGAGCCAGCGCCCATCATGGACACATGCAGTCACAGCAGCACAAGGACTGAACACGTTTCTGTCAAGCCTTGACAGTGGTGTTAAGGGCAAATTACACTTTCTAGTGACGTTATTTTCCTCTTCTTCCCGGTTCCACTAAAGTCTAGATGTACTCTGTGTGGACATCCGTGCGCAGGCCAACACATTAGGCTTGTTCAAGATGCACTGCACCTCCTGTTAGGTGGACAAGAGCAGGCGGAAACAGCAGGGGGTGGTGACAAAAATCTACAGACAAGACAGACAGTTTAGTCACAGGAGCACTCACAACCTGTTAGATCTAATCTCGATTTAATAAAATGTCATCAAGCCAAACTTTTCAGCTTCTTAATGATGTTCTTCTATATGACAAGGAGATTGATAACATGCTGATCTATGTTGATCTTCATACTGTTACTTAAATATTGGTCCTGAAAATCTATTGGGCTACATTTCTCATGTAAAACAGACATCAAATCAGTTTGCTGCTGTATTTGAGCTGACCAGGCTTGATTTGATATGAAACTGCTTAAATACATTCATAGCTAATGTTGATCTGTCAGATGTTTAGTCTGCCACTGCTTCACCTCGAATAGATGTCATTTTAATCAGTAATGTTTAAATCATTTAAATCAGTAATGTTCATATAATAGAGCAGAGCTATCACAGAACTACGTGTAATGTACTGTAAGCCGACTGTGTTCAGCTTCTCTGACTGATAAACGTCGCCACCAATCATTTATTCTGTTAACTTAATAAACCCTCATAGTGCAAATGCAGTACCTACTAATAAAATCACAATTGCTGCAATTATACAAGAAGTAATAAGTTTCTATAAAACACCACCTTTTTGATCCAGCATCTCATCCAATCAGCTTTCAGATTAGGTGAGAACCAAACATCTCCCATCATGCACTAAGTGCTTGCAGCTGCAGCATCTAGCTTCAAAAACTGCAGCTGCCTCAGTTCTGTGAGAATGTTGTTGCTTATGTAGGCGCTAAGTCAGAGCAAGTTGGGATCAAGTCGGATAGAAAACTAGCCAGCATGCATTGTGCGCTGATTGGTGGTGATCAGTTCTGCACAGATCTGGCTCATCTCGAATGTGCCGTTTGTGTCCACTGGGGCTGTCTACTCAACACAAAGCCCGAACTATGCATCTACCACAATGCTTGGAAAAAGTCGGTGTACAAGGACAGAAGACCCTCGAATTGAAGTATGAACAGGAACACATGCTATGACATGAAATAAAATATGAAACAAATGTGTATTCTCTTGCAAAGCCTTGTCATTATCCAGAGAGAACCCTTTCACAATAAATACAACAATCTAGCCAAGCAGACAACATCCAGACTTCAGAGGAGTGTTAACACCTTGGAAGCAAATGAAAATTAAAACAGGTGGGTCTTGAGCTGCTATTTCAAAGTAACTGCAGTGTCAAATCATCTTCTGACACTTTTAACTAACTATAAAACTAATTCTCCATAAAAATGCACAAAAATATAGAGAAATTTAAGATTAGGCCATTTTTTATCATGTGCCAGGGTCCTGCACTTACTCTGTACTTTATTATCAAGATTTTTGTTTCAGATTGACTTTTAGGTTATAGTTTATCCACCTTGCATCCCTGTTTGTGTTTCTAAGAACAGGCAGCTTTTCAAACATTTTCTTTTCTTTTTGATATTTTAAAGAAACTACAGGGTCAATCAATACCCTTTTTAATGCATCCAGTCTAGGTTTGTGTATGAAAAATACAAGCAAAACCTCACTGAAGGTTTCTCACTTTTGCAGCACCCAGATGTGTTCCTTTCCTCTTTTTCCTGTTCACACCCACACACCTCACTTTTATATTACTTTCTTTCTGCTAGGCATCTCCCACCCCTCCCCATACCACCATCATCATCACCACCTACTCCTGTTCTTCCTCTCCCATCTCATTTCAGCAGGCTGAGGGAGCTGAGGCAGGACATCAGACATGGCTCCCAATTCTCCTCCACTCCATTGAACTAATGCAATTAACTCCACTGGTGGGAATAGGATAGAAGAACTAGAGAAATTTCTAAATAAGCAATCAAAAGGACCACAGTCTGTGTGTGTGTGTGTGTGTGTGTGTGTGTGTGTGTCCAGACCACTGTCCAGACATCATAATATCCTTAAATACACACGCACAGTCCTCCTCTGCCTCGGGCTGGAAATGAAACTTTCACAGTCATGATCAAATTAGCAGACAGATATTTTTCTAAGGAGAGAGAAGTGCTCGACAATCCACTCCACAAAATTAGGAGTATTTCAAAAAGTTAAGGTGGCTATTCTGTTAAATGGATTCACTCCATGAATCCAAGTGTAACTGCACTCTATGTACAGTATATAGAGGCTTTTATTCCACTAACAACCAAAGCAGAGTAAACTGAATAATAAATTGCCTTATTTAAAGTCTTGACTGTTAAGATTTCAGTAATGACATATACATATACTGCGACTGCTTTGCAATAAAAGACAGCCAGTGTTTTGCAAGTTGAACACTTTTCATGTAAAGCAGACACCAGTAGGAAATGTTTTGTTTGCATAAGCAGATGAACCTGCAGTAATCCAGCGTTGACACAGCTGCCATGGCACAACGCTATGATCCTGACCCAGTCTTTATAACACAGTGGTCTTGCTTAATGCATTTTTTTCTCCATTGCAGCTCCTAGTGGTTTACACTTGACTCCCCAAAAAAAGTGCTTAAAGGTCCCCCACAGTGGAAAATGTTACACAAGCCGCCCACCTGCTGTGGTTTTGTGGAGGTGGTTGTCAGATGTCGACTCAAGATTATATACCTTACACAGGGGACGCTGGAGCTTTCCATCCCGCATCCCCACTGTGTCCTGAGCGTCCTGTCCATTACATAGTTTTCACACTGTACGCAGTCATGCTACATTACTGCCTACTGCCTGACAGAGTGGGGAAAATAATGACTGTACTGATGGGTTGTTGGAGTGTACATTTGTGCCCCAGCTGAAGTTCTGTTTTGATCAATAACACAAATCTCTGCTTTTGGCAAGAATGAAGAGAATCTAGTTGATTATACAGCATATAATAACACACCTATGCATCAGCTCATGAACACACAACTCTACAAACTCACAGCTCAGATGGATGTTTCTGTTAGACATTTGTTTTGCATTGTCTTGTTTGATGCCGTCACTCTGAAACCACACAGACCCTATTTGCATCATTTGTGCCTTATGTCTGAGGTTCCTTTTGTGAATCAGTGTCTTGAACAAGCTTTTAATCATCATGCAAAGTTTCTTATTGACACTTGAGGCAATGGAGAGTCTCAGGAAATATTGTGAAAATAGGCGGTGGAGTTAACAAGCAGAGATACTGTATATGATGTATAATTGTGTTCAAAGTACTGATGATATTTTACTCAAGCAAATACTTATGTTTGAGAAGCTAGAAAATTGCTTCCATTTTCTCTGAGTATTATTGACTTGATTGCCAATGTTCAACAACAGTGCCTGAAGTTGCTCCACTCCTGTCAACCATCACCTCAGAAGCTTCAACTAATCCCACACCAGAACTGAGCACACAGAGCTGCTTCTAATCATTTCACTAAACAAGAAGATTTTTATTTTGGCATATTTATTTAGCATTTTGTTTATTGCACAACTCTTGAAACATCTTCTTCAGACACTGCCTCACCCTGACCAAAACAAATGGAGAACCTGGCTCCTTTTCTTTGACTTTATTAAATATCTGTAGTCATCACACAGCAGCAGGATCCATATGGTAACCCAATCAATTATTTAAGTCCTCTGATGTGACACTGTGATCTTAAGGTGGCCTTATTAACTTAAATGTGTTTCTGAACAGCAAATGTGAGCTGTTAAACACATATTAGAAGAACAAAGCAGTCGTGCACAGGATGATTCTAGGACCATCATAGCTGTTGGTTCAAGTATCAAGTGGAACAGGACGTTTTTTTCCCACAGTTTTAACATTGAAGTTCATTTATAAATTGAACTGAGTTAAATGTAAAGGTAGGGTTGGTAATTCTTTTCAGAAGCATTCTTATTACATGTATTGAAATTTTCTTTTCATCCTGATGGCAATGAACACATTTAATGCACATTTAATGAAAATCTGTCATCTATGGCACCAGTGGGGCTGAAAAAAGGCCTGACCAATAATTTTACCTATCCCAAGTAAAGCCACTGGATGGCCTGCCTGTCAACCTAACGCTCTACTTGTGCACTCAATGCGTGTCTCCCACAAGGCGTGATACTTGCAGGCAGACGTGTTACTGCTCTGTTTTGATGGCTAAAGCTAGTGAGCTAGGGCAGAAAAGGTGCCCACAGCCTTTTTTGTTCAGGAACAGACTGTTGTTACAGGCCGGGCCTTCCCCTTTAAGACATGTAGCCTTATAGGTGATGATGTTGTTGTCTCTTCACTTTATACATGCTCCCTTTAGGCAATATTATCAGGAAGCACAACATAAATGTCCATTGCTATGCAGATGATACTCAGTTATATTTATCTATGAAGCCAAATGAATCAGGTCAGCTGGTCAAACTTCAAGCATGTCTTAAAGACATTAAGGCCTGGATGACCTGCAACTTCTTACTTCTAAACTCTGACAAAACTGAAGTTATTGTGCTTGGGCCTGAAAACCTTAGAAATCTGCTGTCTAATCATATAGTTACTTTAGATGACATAGCTCTTGCCTCCAGTACTACTGTGAGGAACCTGTGAGTCATCTTTGATCAGAATATGTCCTTTAAATCACACATAAACCAAGTCTCTACATCTGCCTTCTTTCACCTGCGCAATATTACAAAAATCAGGAGCATCCTGTCTCAAAGTGATGCTGAAAAACTGGTCCATGCATTTGTTACTTCCAGGCTGGACTACTGTAACTCTTTACTATCAGGATGTCCCAATAATTCCCTAAAAAGCCTCCAGTTAATCCAAAATGCTGCAGCCAGAGTACTGACAGGAACTAGCAAGAGAGATCATATCTCTCCCATATTAGCTTCTCTCCACTGGCTCCCTGTAAAATTCAGAATAGAATTCAAAATCCTTCTCCTAACATACAAAGCCCTTAATGACAAGGCTCCATCATATCTTAAAGACCTCGTAGAGCCTTATCATCCTAACAAAGCACTTCACTCTCAGAGTGCAGGTTTACTTGTGGTTCCTAGAGTCCACAGAAGCAGAATGGGAGGCAGAGCCTTTAGCTATCAAGCTCCTCTCCTATGGAACCAACTCCCAGTCTCAGTTCGGGAGGCGGACACCCTCTCTACCTTTAAGATTAGACTTAAGACGTTCCTTTTTGATAAAGCTTATAGTTAGGGCTGGATCAGGTGACCCTGAGCCTTCCCTTAGTTATGCTGCTATAGGCCTAGGCTGCTGGGGGCCCCATGATGCTCTGAGTTTCTTTCCCCTCCCCTCCTGCTCTCCTCTCCTCTCCTCCCCTCCCCTCTCCTCTCTCTCCCTATGCTTCTATATGCCACCATTACACATTACTAACTTTGTGTCTCCTCCCTCCCGTAGTGTGTCCTCTCTCTCTC